AAGTGCAATGGCCTTTTAGAGAAATGTATATTGCATAAAGTGTAAATATAATTCAACAAGCTAAAATGTAAACCACAAGTGTATGTAGTACACTAGTAGTATTTAGATTAATGTACTTGAATGTATAATTTGGTAAACTTAAAAAAAACTTATAATGGTATACAGGTATACTTTTTCAAAACAAACAAATGTCAGAATAAGTATTAAATCAGTATAATTTCTAGTACACTACAAGTACATGGTGCATGGTATACTACTTAAACTTATACTCAAGTATACTTCAAGAAAATCACTTTTTGCTAAGAGGACTACACTGAAAACAAATGGTTTGCCCAGATGTCACATAAGAGCCACCATAACATGTTCAATAAACACAAAAGTGAATCAACTACAACAATAAAAAGTTTGAGTGTTTTTTTTTAAGCTTTTGCGTTAGAAGTATCTGAGTGAGCCTGTGGTGAGGGACGCCCTCTGGTGGCGGACAGTAAAATAACACCCAGATTGTGGAGCRCTGAGCTCCATCCATCCTGCCTTCCTCTCCGCTCCTGGATCCACCGAAAATAAAAGGCTTCGAGTGAGAGACGGAGCCTCTCGGTTCGGTTCGAGCAAGATCCACTGACAGCCCTTTTTAAAGGAATACTRGGACACTTCGGATGCAAAGGTGGGTTCATTTATCTTTATTGTAAAGGTTTGTTTAGAACACCGGAGGGTTTAATCTGTCTTTGCCTAAAAAGAAAAAAGAAAAAGAAGAAAATCGCCGGAGAAATACGACCTCTTTAGCCGGAATTAKTGAGGAAGTTCACCGCTGTTGTGGCGTCGTGAATAATAAAGACGTTTTTTTTTCCCTGTGTGTCCTTCACGTGTCTTTAAGCTTTCATTTTGAAAAAAAATCACCTTTTGTCTTCTAACCTTAAATGTGAACAAATACAGAGGATCCACAGCGCCATAGGACCATTGTGGAGACAGGGTGAGACACAGATCAGTCACATCCTTCAGCTCAGATAAAAGAAAGGCTGTTTGGAGGCTCTGCAGGGATCAGCAGCAGCTGTCTGCAGGGCTGCACATCTGGAGGAGGTATTTAATCTGACTAAATGTGTCTCCTCTGTTTCTGTTGCTGCAGAGACTGTGCTGCCAATTATTTATCATTGAGATAGATTTGTRTGTGTGCTCAGAGTCAGGACACTGGGAAACTCTTGACCAGATGAATCATCTCGTGGAAGATATCAATTCATGCCAGGAGGGATGAAAAAGAAAGCAGCGTGGGATTCTGTTCGCCATTGTTCTCTTTAAAACTGGGCTTTCTGACTGGCTGGACAAGATGTAAGCAGTGTAACAAGAAGTGGCCTTACCTTAAGGCTACAGGGGGGAAAGTTAGGCTGCTTTACAGTATGCAGACATGTAAAGGCACTTAGAGTTGTTGCAGGGTTGTATCTCTTCCACAACCCACCCACTTCTTTGCTGCTGTACTTTTATTTAGTTCCACATGAGCGGATCAGAGGAGGCCGGAGTTTGCATTCCAGAGAGCTGTGTCAGGTCTTAACTTTCTCCCCTCGGTTCTCTGTGTGGGTGTGGATCAGCGAAGCGGGGATCARCTCTCGGATCCTTGTCTAAATATCACCGAGCGGAGGATAAAGGGAAATAAACGGCTTTTACCGAATAAAAACTTGTAGATAAAAAAGCTCTTTCTGCAGTTTTATGAAAGGCTCGGCACGTGTGATTTCAATCCAGCGGTGCTTATAATCTGCGAATGTGCTAATGAGCAGGTGTTTCTCTGGGTTATCTGAAGTTCACAGAGATTAGAGACTAATCACAATAATTAACACTGACACACACGTGCTCTGCCAGCAATTCAGAAAAGATACAAACAAATATATTTTCTGCTGTCGTGTTCAAGTGATGCATTTACAGAGATATAATACCCCAGCATTCATCAACTAACGTCACACGACGTCACACGAAAAGTGACAGGTGTCCCGCCCTAAAGGGGCGGGACACCTGTCACTTTTCGTGTGACGTCATTTCTTAATTAGTTGATGAATGCTGGGGTATTATATCTCTATTTACACTGCATGGAATAGTACAAGTTGAGTCCTGAAATTGTATATATGTGACCCATCATATCGAAATGAGGATTAAGTTAAATTTAGTCAAAATGACCTAATTACATTTTCAAATGATTGGCTTTAAAAGCTACATTTTGACACCTGGATCATTCTGATGTCATAAGTGGATCTAGAGATAAGACTTAATTTGTCTTGTTGGTTAAAATAATACATTACTGTTTGTTCTGAATCCTAATTTTATATAAATTTATTGAGTAATTTTTGATGTCAATATAAAGAGAAAACATCAAATAGTCTTTGTACGTTAGGATTTCCCAGTTAGAAAGAAACAAAAACATTGCTAACTCACAGGGAAAAATTTCAAAAATTTAAGGCGTTTTTCCTCAAAATCAGGTTTTTTGTTGCTACTGCTCAAAAAATGCGTCAAAAATGTTTTTTAGGATTTTATTTCAGAAATAAGATAAGGCGTGAAATCATTATATTTTTTGACAAAATGCGATTTTTGCACACATTTAAATCAAAACGCTATCTGCCCATTTCTCCTCRTTCCACTTTTGGATTTAATCCTCGTTTCGATGTGATGGGTCACATATTTGTAGAGAAGCTGTTCATGTGGGATGTTTAGAAATGGGAAATAGAGGGAAAGTTATGAACAGTTATTATCTAAGATTGCTCTTTAAGTTACAGATGCTTTTGTATTCTTGGGTGCAGTCAAGAACAAAGCTGCTGTTTTAAAAAWAACTAAAATGTTCAATTTTCCTAGTAGCTCATGCACATTTTATGTTATGAACTTTGACACAGCYGCAAACACTAAAACTTTTAAATGCAGATTTGTTATAAAATCATTTTTAATCTCAGAGTTTAGGTGACGTTAGRTTTGATTTAAGCCCTGAGTTACCGGTACATATTACTGGATTGAAGATTGATGTTTCTCCCTGTTTTGATGCCGTGAAACAGAAAGCTGCTGCATCGAGCAGATTGTGGCGTAATACCACCAGAGCAGGGCGAAGCCAGGAAGGTAGGCACAATGGCTGGTGGGTGTTGGGGGGCGGGGGGCAGATGCCATGGTAACCAGGCTTCAGGATGTGCTTTAGCTGCGCTGCAAGTCTGAAATGTGGTTTGCCAAGACGACACTGGATCCTGTGACAAAATACCCAGTTTTATCAATCTCTGCTAATCACTGCAGCTCTAATCTGRAGCAGGACTGAAGTCGGTTTGAGTTCACTTTAGGTAAAAAAAAAAAAGGAGCCCGTCACACCAGATCTGCGTGCACCTTTCAGCCTGCATGTGTGTGACTCTGCTAGCTGCCCCCGTGCACCAGGCTCTGTCCGCTACACAAACACATTAATGAGTGTTTGTTTTACATTAGTGTCACTTTCTGCCCTTGTGCGTTGCYCGGGGGCGCCTGTGCAGAACGATGTGCACCGAGGCGTTCGCGCTTCACTCAGGAGATACTTCCTACACAGAATAAAGTCATATACGATTAGTTTGATGCGTTAGGACGACTCGRAGTAAACAAGCAGACACGTGATCTTCACTCGTTATTTTTATGCTTTATTTCTTATTCCTGGATCTGTAATTGATAGTTTTTCTTTGCCCGTGACTGCGATTTTCCACATGGCCTGGTTCACATGCCGCCTCCTCCTCCTCCTCCTACTCCTCCTCCTCCTCCTCCTCGTCTTGTGCATGAGCAGAGCAGCATCCTCCTGGCCCACATCCTGATGGCCTTTCGCTAGTCGACCAGCACTCACGGGGTTAACAGCTTCCCCATTCAAATTTGCAGGCTTATTCCTTTAACCATATGGCTTCTGGATGTGATGAAAGACCATTGTTTGCTGTTTGGCTTCTCTCGCTCAGCCGCCCCCCACCTTAATAATCTGTCTCTCTCTCTCTCACACACACACACACACACACACACACACACACACACACACACACACACACACACACACAGTGTATCATAAATTTACTCTCGGCAGGGGTGATTGATTGTTGCCCCTAAATGGGGCCTTCTGCCTCGTGTGTTGCCATCGCAACAGCCGACGCTCCAGATGTGCGYTAACGATGCGATGCATTGTGAAAGACGGGATGCTGCACCATCGTTTGGCTCGATGATTGACACATCGAGCCCCAAYATTTATTCAAGTTAGCTGCAGCTTATTTCATTCTGCGGCACGAGTCAACAAACCATTACAGTAAAACATTTAGGGTAAACTAGAGAAATGGCTTTTCCTGTGAAAATGCTAGTTGTGCGTGCTTCATGCTGAAAACTTCAGCTGAAAGCTGCTGAAATTGAGCTGAAAATGTAATAGGAAAAGTGTTGTTGAAAAACTGAAAGAAGCAGAAAACCATAACTGCATAAAAACAGTAAAAAGGAGCACAAATCTAGTTGAAAATAGAAAACAGCTAAAAGCTAAGAGCTAAAATAGCTGAAAACATCTGAAAACATAGCAGAAAAAASTRTTAAAAGTAGAAAAAGGCAGAAGAATAGCTAAAGTAGCACAATGTAGCTAAAATGAGCATAAAATAAGCTAAAGGTAGCAACCACAATTTGAAATTAGCACACAGTTGAAATAGTTATAGTTAAAAATGAACAAAACAGAAAAAAAGTGTAAAATGACATAAAAATGATCATTTGCAGTAAAATAACTAAAACAGCTGAAATTTTCAGTAAAACAGCTAAAACGTAGCTGGAAATTATTTAATTAGCATAAGGAGCACAAGTTTGCTAACCTTAGCTGAAAAAAAATTGTAGTAATTACAAAAAAATGTGTATTTAGCTTAGAAAAGCTAACCTTAGCTAACAGCAGCTAAACATTAGCTGCAAAATTTCAGCAAACAGTTGAATATAGCAGAAAGCATCTGTAAGAAACAGAAATAGCACAAAGTAGCAGAAAAAAAGCACAAAAAGTAGAAAAATCAGAACAATAACAGAAAGAAGCAGAGTTGTAGCTGTAATCACTGTAAAAAGAATTAGCGTGATTAAACTTAAAAACCTGAGTTCAAAAGCTGCCTTAAAAATACAAGTTAACTCCACTTGAAAATTTGCTTTTTCTCAACTTAGGATGGCAAGCTAGAAAACTAGCCCAATTGATGATAATTTATTGTTTATACTTGATATTACAAGTTAAATTGACTTACTGTAGAAC